TGAGTGTTTTTTCTTGTGAAAAGGGCATTCTTGGTTGTTTCTCTACACACCTTGTAGGTGGATTTTTCGTTGAACACTAGACATTTGAAATAATATAATGCAGCAGCTCTGGAAATCAGATTTATTCTCCTCCAAGGGTTTATTACTGTAGCTGCTATAAAAAAATAATATCCTGGACGTAGCACCGAACTTGGGCCAAGCTACCAACGAGCCTGACATTCTTCTTTGAGAGAGTCAGCAGTCAGAGGGCTTGCTGCATGTGGGCATGGAGCTCATTTCTGGAAGACTGGCATGGACCACGCGTCCACAGAGCACCCTGCTAGTGATGCCTCTTGCAGGCTCCGTCAAATATGATAGGCAGGGAGAGGGCTCTGCTCCTGCCCCCAAGGCCCGTAAGTCCCCAGCCTTTGCTGGTCTCCCCCAGTCACTGGGGGAGCATGTTGAGTCTGTGGATAGCACACTTGGTCCTGATCTAGCTTTGCCCATGCAATCCCAGTGCACGCCTGGACAACCTGCCCTAGGTGTAGGGAGAGCAAATTTACGGTTTCTTCATCCAAGAAAGTCGTGATCAGATGCAGTAAGAAGGATGCCAAAGTTGCCGTCAGCTGGAGCGATTGCTGCCCACACGTCACCTTGGTCAATAAAACCATGGCCATAGAAGGTGCCCAAAGGGGGAGGAGGGGGAAAACATATGGGTCACAAAGGACCCAAGCCAAAGGAGCAGAGAGAAGCGCTGGCCACCAAGAGAGGCCCCGACAGTGGGCACACCACTCAGGAGAGGATTTTCTTCCTTTCCTAGTGGAGTTAGGATCAGTAGCAGGGCCGAGACAGCAGGTGCCTGCCATAGGCACCTCGTGTCCATTCCAGACCGCACAGTCCTTCCAAGGGGAAGAACGAGGGCAGGGATCCAAAGTATGCCAGACAGGCCCAAGCTGAGCATTTATGCAAGCGTATGCTAAATGACTACTAGAGTGTGATGTTGTGATTTGAGTGTGACATTTGAAAAAAGCCAGATCTGGGTTCAGATGCAGGCTTTGTCACCTAACAGTTGTTGGGACCTTGGCAGAATTTCTTGAAGCCTTAGCTTCTGCATCTATAGAAGAGCATATAAACACCCAGCTCATGGGGCTGTTTTGGTGGCATGAGACACATTTTATAGAGTGATTCATGACTCACACAGCCCAGGGAAGTAGTCAGTCACTTTCCTTTCACTCTTGTTGACAGTCAGGGACAAGGAGGAGGGATGGTCCATGCCTCACTCTGTGTGGCCCTTCTCTGGCTTCTTCTGTCTTAATCTTCCTCAGGGTCTGCCCAGCCTTGCATCCTGGCATTGGGCCCCCTAGTGCAAGCTCTCACAGCACCTGTGTCTTCCTTCCTCCTTCCACTTGTATTTCATAATTAGATGCATAGTTGTGTGGTTATTTGACTGGTAACTGTCACCTCCACTGATCCTTGTCCTTACCACTTTGTCCTCCCTGGCCAGCAATAAATGAGGAATGAGTGAGTGAATGAATGAATGAGGAGGAGGTTCCTGGCTTCACAGACTTCACTATGGGCACACACACCCGCAGGGTGGCTAGGGCAGCTGTCCACAGACCAGAGCGTTGGGGTCTAACTTAGCGTTTTCTCACCCAGACCACAGCCGAGAACTCACTCCACAACTCCCTCAGCCAGCCTCCTCCATCAGCCCAATCCACAACCTCTTCTGACTCACAGCCTTCCTGGCAGGGACCTGGGTCCATGGGGATGCTGGACGGAGCCTCAGAGGTCAACCTGTGCACTTTCCTGTGGTCCTGGAGCAGTGGCCATCGCTTGAGCACGGAGGGAGGGAGTGGGGCTGTCTGTGGCTCAGCCACTCTGCCGTGGTGCTGTTCAGGCTGGCGTGGGCCACCTTGCTCCCTCGACAGTCCCAGCATCCAGGCTGACAGAGCCTGGCCATCCCTTTCCAGAAGCTGATGGGGAAAGCCAGGGGACAGGAGTGCTGCAGTGGCAGAAGAGGTCCTGGGAAACGCGGCCTCTCCTCTCCCCCGCTGCCTGGTCACTGCCCACCCCTGAATGACTTGTTGAAGGGGTCCTCAGCCCGTGTCCGCTCAGGCCCCTCTCTGGCCCAGACCCTCCAGCAGTCCCCTCCTTGCCATGGCCCACAGTCTACACGGGGTTAACCTCAGGCTTCTTCCTGGTGGCTGCTGATTCACTTTCCTGCCTCTGGCCGGATAGAGGTTTGAGGTTTGGCTGGGTCCTCCTGCTGCTCCACTCCCAAACCCCAGTTCCTGACTCTGCCTGCACACGGGCACCCCTGGCAGCCCCACGGCCTCCCACCTGGCCCCTCCCTCCAGCCAGAGATCCCTGAGCTACCAGGTACCCGAATTCTCATCCTCGCTGGAAGCCCTCACCTGCCACCTTCCATGCTCCGGTAGCAACCTCCTCGTTCCCAGAGCTTGCCTGGACTGAGTGCTGTGTCTGGCCTGGGCACTGAAGGGCCGGCTGGCAGAGACAATACCAGAACATCCTGTATCCGGAGCCCACCAGGTGCTGTGGGGTTCCTCACTTTATTTGTACCTCCATCCAGGGAGGCCTGGTTTGTATCTTAAACTAGCTCCACAGATTAAGTGAAACCCGCAGCTCAGAGAGGTTAACCATTTACCCAAGGCTGCAGAGCTAGGCGAGGACCTCCATCCTGCAGTTCTGCATCACAGGTAAATGTTGCTCAGGGGCATGACCCTTGCCACACAGCCCCTGCAGCCCGGGAAGCCTGGACCTGGCCTGCTGCGATTCTCCAACGGTTCTGGGCCTTCTGCAAAGGCAGGTGAGGGCAGGGTTCTATTTTTGTTTTGGTTTTGATCCCTGGCCTCCTCCCTGCACCTCCTCCCATCCCCACTTCCTGTGTAAAGACTTTGAAATACACACTTCACCCGCCACAACCCAGTGATGAGGGAGGGTCCCAACCTGGCCCCATGTTCATCACAAGCCGGGGAGATGAAGATGGTCTCCAAACCGTGGTTATTAGATATTGATCCCATTGGCTAAGACCAGCACCGCTGGCCCAAATCTGCATGAGCGCACCCTTTGACATGCGTTCAGTTTTCACCTCCTCATACACACCTGCTGAGCACCCACATGTGCCAATACTCCTGGGCACTGGAACATAAGGAGGGACGCCGCCCTGTTCCTGCCATTGCCCACAGCTCGGGGGGCAGACAGGTGTCAGGTGGCCTTCCAACCTAGCCCCTGACTCTGTCTGTAGGAGTCCAGGAGAGGAAGGCACTTGGCTGGAGCCTGAGGCAAGCTGGGAAGGCTTCTCAGAGGAGGAGCCATGCCTCAAAGGCTGGGATATAGGTTTATTCCAAAAGTCTTTTCTGAGGAGCTTTTGCTAGAACAGATAGAATGGGAGGGAATGGGGCTGGTGTTGTGATAGAGCGGTTTAGACTGCCACCTGTGATGCTGGCGTCCCCTGTGGAGCACCAGCTTAAGTTCCAGCTGCTCTGCTTCCAATCCAGCTCCCTGCTCATGTGCCTGGGAAAATAGCAGAAGGTGGCCCTGGTACCTGGGTCCCTGCCACCCGCATGGGAGACATGGGTGGAGTTTCCGGCTCCTGGTTTTGGTCTGGCCCTACCCCAGTGGTTGCAGCCATTTGGGGAGTGAACCAGCAGATGGAAGATCTCTGTCTCTCTGTCTCTATCTATCTCTTGCTCTGTGTGTGTGTGTTTCAAATAAATAAAATATAATATAAAGGATGGGAAGGGAAATGATGAAGGGTGGTGGGCACTGAGGGCGCCTAGCGGGTAGACAGGCCCCTGCACACCTGAGAGTTTCTGGTTGTGTTTGCTTGGTGCCAGTCCTGGACCTGTTCTCTTGGTCCAGGAACCCTGCAGAATTTCTGTGATGATGCGAACACTGTGTGCCTGTGCTGTCCAGTGTGGTAGCCACATATGGTTACTGAGCCCTTGAAAGGTAGCCAGGGAGGCAGAGGAAGTGCATGCTTACTTTGATTGCATTTTAATTCATTTAAACTGAAATAGCCCCCAGAGCCAAGCAGCGTGGCTTCGATGCATCCCTGAATCACCTGCGGCGGGTTGCACAGCCACAGCCCTAAGAGCCTGATTTTGCGGACCCAGGCTGGGGCTCAATTATCAGTATTTTTCTAAACAAGCCAGGTGATTCTCCAGTAAGCCAGAATTGAGAACCACTGGTCTAAAACGCTATCTGCCACGCTCTCTCATCACAGGCAAAGGCCCAGGCTTCGGAGGATGGCCACTCCTTGGTTTCCTGTCCACTTCCGGCAAGAGGGTCAGCCCTTAGGCCCTCTCACACACACTGCTGACTCCTTCCCCTGCCGGCCTCGCCCACTCCCCAGCCGGGGTCTGACCTGGACGGCAGGTTCAATGGTCAGGCAGAGTCCGCCTCGCAGGCCCCCTGGGGCCCTTGGAAGGAGCCCAACCAGCCATTTTTCCAGGCTGGGCTAGGCCGAGCTAGTGCAGGGCCCTGGCCAGGCCTGAGGTTTGGCTGCTTTTGTTAGAGTTTTCCAGTTAAACTGATATGCAGATGAAGTGTGTTGGTGACAATTCCCGGGGAAGTTCTGGTGACCAGACTGAAACTTGGAGAGAACCCTGCCTTCCCGCCTCCCCCAGCGGCGGCTGCCACCCACACCCCAAAAGCAACCTTCCCCATGACTCACACGTGGCAGCTTGTGCACTTCTTTTATTATTAAATATATAAGCAGCTTCCTATTCTTTTTAAATAGATATTTAAATGACTTTATATAAAATAATTCACCACTTCCAAGTATAAAAACGAAATCTCACAGTACGTGAGTGAATGTGCCCTTTTCGGCTTTCCTAGAGAAAAGAAGGGTCTCCCTGTGCAGGCAGCCCCTGGGAGACGCCACAGGCGGCTCTGGGGCCCCTCGGGCCTCCACAAAGAGCTTCTGCAATGGGTTGGATCTGCTCTTTGACTTCTAAAACACTGTATGTAGAAGGTGGATGGGAGTGAGGGGAGAAGTGTTGTCTTCTTTTTTTTTTTGTTTATTTCCTTCCATTTTTAAATACATGCTTTCTAGCATGGAATCTGGAGTCTGTGACCAGAGGGGTGAGCCCTTCCTGAAAGTTCTCCAGTCCCCACCCTCAGCTGTCTGTCAGCCTCTGGACAGGGGGCGGGGCCAGCAGACCCTCACTTTTCTCAGGCAGGAAGCGAAGGGCGTGGTCTCTCAGTAGAGGACCTGGGGTGGCCAGGGAGGGGGGACACAGCAGCACAAAGGGACCAAGGGGCAACACACACAGCCCTTTTCCCCGCTGCCCAGGTCTCAGATGCCTGGATCTCCTGGTCCTCCTCCCGCTCTGTCTTGCCTGGCCAAGGGTGGAGTGGGAGGCGAGAGCCGGAGGGTATCTCTGCCTCCCGGGCTCAGGGAGGAAGGGGGCAGGAAGAGGGTAGGAGCTGGTGCCAGCAGCTGGGAGAGGAGTGAAGCCCAGTCCCAGGCACCTGCTGGCAGCCGGGGAGGGAGACTGGGCCAGGGCGGGGCCGGGCACAGGCCCCTCCCTCAGCCTCAGGGGCATACCTGTATTGCAAAGACCCATTTTCCGTCTGAGCTCACGCTGCGGCCTCCCTGCCTCCGTCCTCCCCTCCCCTTTCCCTTCCCCGAGTCACTTCCCTCTTGGGAATGTCAAAGTGCAAGATGCAGAAACCTGGACGAACAACACAGCCTAGAGACCGGCTCTGGCCGGTGGCCCGGGCAGTCCTCCCGCCCCGCCCCCGCCCCCACCCCACCCCCATCCCCACCCCAGGAGTCAAGTCAGGAGAAGGTCAGGGCCCAGGGGCTCCCTCGGTCACAGCAGCTGAAGCCAGCTCAGTGCAGGAAGCCGGGGAGAGGCGGGCACGCAGGGAGGACGCGGGGTGCGTGCTGAGGGACGGCTGCGCAGGCTGATCAGCAGGCAGGCTCGGTATTCACAGTGCAACGGCTTCCTTCATGACGGGAGCCTCGGCCTGGCTTCCAGCAGAAGCTCCGGCAGGGGCTGGAGGCAAGGAGGGCAGAGGCCGGCGCCTGGTCCCTTTCTTGGCATTGTGAGCTGGATCAGGCAGGTCCTGAGGGCAGGGACGGCCCCTTCTCTCTGCCTGGCAACCAGCAGAGGGCACTGAGACGAGCAGAGGGTGTCGACCCTAGGGCCACCCGAGCTGGCAGCCTGCGGCCTCCTCTTCCCGTCCCTTGGATTGCACACCCTGACGGGAAACCAGGCCAATGTGGGCCCGCCCTGCCAATCATGGGCTCCTCTCTCCAGAGACAGGTCCCTGCCTGTCCCAAGGTGGGGATCTCGACACCAGGCGGGTCCTCTGGGTGCAGGGCTCTTCCTGTCCTCAGCGCCCACCCTGGGCTCCCACCTGCCACTGGCAGGTGGGAAGGGAGTGAGAGGAGGGCGCAGCTCCTGAGGGGCAAGCGAGGGTCCTGAGCCGGGCTTGCCCCCCATCCTCCAGTGCGTGGGAGCCTCCAGGGCCCCCCATAACTAGTGGCAGCAGGGGGGCAGCCCCCGGCTCTCGTTCAGTCGGTTGGCTGGCTGAGGATCTGAGGGTCGAGGCGCAGGGTCCCCAGCCTGGCTGTGCAGGTCCGGTCCTGGCAGGCTGGAGGTCTGACGGTGGGCAGGCCTCGCTCCTAGGAGGGTAGGCTGGGGAGGGCTGGTGGAGGCCGGCCCCATGGCGTCTCCTCCCTCAGACAGACTGTCGTGGGCGCCCAGCTGTAGGGGAGAGAAGGAAAGGCTGGTCAGCCGGGGGCAGGGGTGGGGGTAGCAGTGTGGGTAGGGTCCCTGGGGATGCCAGAGGGGAGGTGGGCGTTCCTGTGGGCTTCCTCCCGCCTTCCCAGCCACCCCAGACAGCACACGGGACCCGGTGGCTTTCCTTGGCAGCAGCCCCAGCCTCTGGCCAGGCTGGCCTCACCTCCTCCCTCCTCCTGGAGAGTCAGGGACCACAGGGGGTGGTCTGAGCAGGAGTGGGGATGGTGCCATTGCTCAGGCAGAGGGCTCTGACAGGAGGGATGACCTCCCCAGTGATGCTTGCTCACCCCCACTGAGAAGAGTGTCCTTTCACCCCCACCCCATGCGTGGCCGACAGGCAAACCAGACACTCAGCCAGAGCAACTGAAGATGAGGAATTTGGACCAGATAGGGAAAGTCTAGAGGCAGTGCCATGTGGCACGCTGACCCCTGAGCCACCCAGCCTCCTCCCGGATAGCCAAGGGACTGGCCTCTCGCACCACCCCTGGGAGTCAGGGCCCTCTCCTCTCCCCATCCTGCCCCCATCCTTGTCCCCTGGTCCAGCATCCTCAGAACGCTTTGTTCCCAGAGCAGAAATCCCCTGGACTCCATCCAACAGTTTGACTTTGGACCCTGTGTGAAGCCTCCCTCCCCACAGTCCATAGGCCTCACTGGCCAAGCCCGTGATGGCTAAGGACCGGAGATGGGGCCCCAGCCGCTGGCTCCCAGCCCATTCCCATGCTCTGAAGGGGAAGGAGTGGGGAACCATCAACTGGTTCTGAGCCAGGCAGGGCAAAGGCAAGCCACAGGCCTTCCAGGGCCATGGTGGGTGGAAGCACCAAGTGGGCAAGCCCCAGCCTGCTGCCCTATCTCCTGTTCCTTGGGGATAAGGTGCTGGTGTCTGAGTTTCTGGGGCCCTGAGTGCCCCTCTCAGCCCCTCTGCCCCCAGGTTTCCCTCTCCTCAGAGCAGCATCCACCTGTGGGCTAGTGCTCAAGCCCCTGAAGGTAACCAGCCAAGGGTCCTCTTTGGGGCTGAACCTCAGCCAGGGAGGCTCTGGATGTAGCCCCTGCCCTGGGCTGCCTCTGCAAGGGACACCTTGAAAGGGGGAAGAGAAGGGATTGGCTTGTGGTCTAGTAGGTAAAGCCTCCACCTGCAGTGCCGGCATCCCATATGGGTGCCAGTTCAAGTTCCAGCTGCTCCACTTCCCATCCAGCTCCCTGCTAATGGCCTGGGAAAGCGGTAGAGGATAGCCCAGGTACTTGGGCCCCTGCACCCCGTGCAGCCCCTGCTCCTGGCTTTGGATCAGCCTAGCACTGGTCATTTCTGCCATCTGAGGAGTGCAACCATTTTAGGAGTGGGTCAGCGAATGGAAGACCTCTTTCTCTCTCTCTGTAACTCTGCCTCTCAAATAAATAAATAAATCTAAAAAAAAAAAAAAAAAGAAAGAAAGAAAAAAGAAAGGGGGAACAGGAAAGCCCATCCTCTGACAAAGTGGATCCCAGCTCCGGGGTGTGGCTACTGCTTGCTCTTCTCCAAATAGGCTTCCTTGGTTTTAAGCATGTGCCAAATTCCCCATCTCCCCAGGATTGGCCCCTACCTGTCACCCTGCACATGGGGAGGCCCTAAGGCACCTGCTTGCATCTGACAAGGGGTGTGACTGGAAGCTTGAGTGGTCAGCCCAGCTAGCTGGCCAGGCAGCCTCTAAGCAAATCAGCCAGGCAACTGAACAGCGGGTCAGTTAGCCAGTCAGCTCACTGGTTACCAACTAGCTCATTCTCAGCTTGTTGGCTGATTAGGCAGGCAGTCAACCCAACCAGCTGGTCAGCCTGCCAGTCAGTTAGCTGGTTAACTGGTCAGGCAGAAGGCCAGCCAGTTAGAGACAAGCTGGTCAGGGTTGGTTGGCAGGTCAGCCCTGCGCTGCGGCCGGCCGGTCAACACGTAAATGTTTTTGGCAAGTGTGCAGAGCCCCGCTCTGTACCAGAACCCAGGAGAGCAAAAGAAATGCGGGAAGGAGGAGCACGACCCTGCCCTGAGGAGTTTATAATCCCCCCACCACGAAGACTGCGTGCATGCGCATAGAATGAGACTTTTTAAATGTGTAAAAACATCCAGCTATGTGCAGATTGATACAGTATTGACCAGGTACAAAAGAGCAGCAGGGAATGCAGGGTAGGAGCAGCCGAGGGTCTGGAGAAGACTTGGGAAGGCCCAGAGGGGCTGACAAGGGCTGGGGCTGGGGAGCCAGGGGCGAGGAGTCACCCGTCAATGTGGGTGGGGAGGGGACACAACTGGGAAGACTGTGAAGACGGAGGGATGGGGTTAGGAGTGAAAGCAACTTCAACAGGCTTGGCTGACGCGAGGTCTTAACAGGGGTCCGTGAGCACTTCTTGCACTTTGGTGAAACAAGTGACGCCGTCCACGTGAGGGTCAGAGAAGGTGTGCTGGACAGGGGCTTGTGGGAGATGGCAGCAGCAGTTTCCACAGGCCACAGGCTGGACGCTGCGGCTGTTCAGATAGCTAACACTGCTCAGTGTGCACAGGTGGAAGAACACCGCCCCGATCAGGGAAGGGAAGAGCGCCACTGTGTTCCAAGCTGGTCGGACCACACCTGCAGGACTGTGTCTGGGGCAGGGCGCTACATTTTCAGAGGGACATTGACAAACGAGTGTGTCCAGGATGGTGAGGGGTCTGAAAACCATATCATATAGGGAGTGTTGGAGGGGCTTGGCCACATTTAGCAGGGAGAGTTCTCAAGGGCAGACACGGACGAACAGACTTTAACTATCTGAAAGTTTCATGAGCATGGGATGAGTGCGGGCTGGAGAAACCTGTTCTGCCCTGTGGGAGGAAAGCCTTTTTCCCAGCATCGTCTAAAGGTGCATGGGCTGTGGTTAGCAGGGGGCTTGCTTGGGAGTGGGAATACGTGGCAGGAAGCTGGCTGACTCCTGGTCAGGAATGCAGAGAGGGCTGGCCCCTTTGGAGTGGGTTGCTGGACCAAATGACCTCTGAGAGTCCATCTAACACTCAAGTTCTGTGGCACCATGATTCTAAGAGCAGGGAGCTGAGAATGGCTGAGGTGGGGGGTGGGGTGACTGAGGGAACCATCTGCCAAGAAGTGCACTCCGAGGGCAGCTACTGGACAGGCCAGGAAGTCCAGTTGGAAGTGGCTGGCCATGCAGGGCTGCTAAGAATTCCCAGGAGGCTGAAGGCCTTCATAAAAGCTGCGACTAGAGGAAAAGGATTTTGGTTGCTCTGGGAATGAAGGTGGCTGTCAGACCAGACTCCCAGTGCAGAGGTAGCAAGACCCAGCCTGCGTGGGTCTTGGGGGGAGATCGGAGAACTCAGAAAGGAGAGGCTTGGCTGGAACCAGGAATGGGTGGGCAAGGGGAGAGGCAAGCATTTGGGCCTCCGGGAAGTTGGTGGTGTCACCAACAGGTGAGAGCGACTGGAAGAGGGTGGAGCTCATTTTAAGGGGTGGAAAGAGATGAAGATCAGAATCTTACCTTTACAAAACTCCCTCTACACTGGCAAGTCCACCTGTCTGTCCTCATTCTGGGTCAGGAGGCTGCAGGCAGAGCACAGGGACGGCGTAAGACTTCAGTAGGAGCAGGGGAGTGAGGGGACCCCTAAGCCCGCTCCCCGCCAAACATACACACATACTCTAGCCCTCTCAGGCTTAGAGGATCCACAGCTGCCTAACTCCAGGAAGAGCTGGGGAGAAGCCCCGATGTCTAGAAAAGAGAGGATGCCTTTCCTCCTCTCCACCCTGCTGCCTGCAGCCCCACGTCCTCAGAGCAAGTGGGAGACACCCCCCACCCCGCCTTCCTCCAGAGGGGCGGAGGATCCCAGGCCAGCCCCCAGTTCTCACCTGCCCTCTGGCGGCGCCATGGGAGAATCCGTGGCTGGACTCTCTTGATGGCTCTGGGGACAGGAGACAGCAGGCTGAGTTGCTGGGAGGGGGAGGGACTGGCGCTCCAGCCCAGGCAGTGCTGCCCCGTGTGTTTAGGAGAGAGCTGCCAGCATCCCGCCACCGCCTCCACCCCCCTCCCTGGCCCCCGCTCCCCAGCAGTCAGCTGGGATCAGCTGGAGGGTGAGGCAGTTCCTAGGGCCTCTCTGCTGATGTTCCCGCTTGCTTCTCCCATGCAGGCTGTGTCCTCTCACTCCAGCTCTGCCAAGCTCCCTCACTCTTCTCCTTTACCCCTCTCCCCCAACTGCAATCTGCCTGTCACCCCACTGCGGGCCCAACAGCCTTCTCTCCCACTCCCTTCTACCCCAGCCCCTGCCCGCTGACCTTACGGCCTAGGCCTTCCTGATTCTGAAAGCAACTTCCACTGCAACCTGCCATCCTCTGCACCCAGTGAGCCCTGCATCTCAGCCCTCAGAACCCGGGCCCAACCGAAGCTGCCCTGCCAGAGGCCCCCTCCCTCCTGGGGCTCTTACCCGCCGCCTCCGCCTGTAGAACAGGAGACCCCCAACGGCCAACAAGACCAGGATGATGCTGGGCACCAGCAGGCGGAAGGCAAAGCCGGGCAGCAGGGGGTCAGAGGGTCCTGTGTGCTGCCTCTCATGGCCTGTGTCAGTCAAAGGAAGGGAATTAAAAGGAGCTAGGGCCTGGGCAGCCCCCTCGCTTGCACGCTCTGCACCATCCAGCTCTCTCAGGCTCCTCCGGTCCCTGGTGCTCCTTCTGCCCTCCAGCTCCCTGCGGAGTGCTAGGCCAGCCCATGGGTGGCTCCTGGGAAGCCTTGGCTGAGTGGCGGGCACGGTGAACTGGCTGGGGCCCTGGAGGCGTCGCAGCAAGGCCCCGAGAGAGCCTGGCTTCTGGTGGTTTGGAGGCAGGGCAGGTGGCCTGTGGGTCTTCTCAGGGCTGTGGCTCCAAACCAGGCCCTGGGGCCTCACTGAGCCCACCCTGGGTGGGGCGGTGCCGGTCGCAGCCTCTGCTGGCGCAGCAAGTGCTGAAGACGCTGTCAGGAGGTTGCTGGGTCTGGCGCCCTCGGCCTGGACGCTGTTCCCTTCCGGCCCAGGGACAGGGCCCTCGCCAGTGTTTCCAGAGGCCTCTTCCAGGGCCCAGAGAGTGTCCATGGCAGGGTCCAGAATGGCCTCCACCCCAGGTGTGGGGGCCCCGACGGCAGGGCGAGGCTGCAAGGAGCGGCCTGGGGGGCTGTCCTCCACGCCGGTGGTCTCTGGCGACTCAAGGCTCTGGCAGGTGCTCCTGGGTGGTCGCTGCTTGGCGCTGCCTGGGTCCACTGTGCCAGGGGCCTGCTCACTGGGCAAGAGGGGGTTGCCCTGTGTCCCCTCAGCGTCGGCCCAGGCCAAGCCAGCCATGGGGGCTGTAGAGGGGTCAAGGGGCTGGCGAGGGGAGGCCAGGTCACTGTTAGGGGTGGCTTTGGGGTACAGGCAGTTGCAATCAGGCTTGGTCACCACATCTGAAAGAACCACAGAGACAGGGAGAAAGACGGGGAGGAGATAGAGTCACCAGCCTCCAGCTCAGCTTTCCCAGAGGGGGCGGAGAGGGCCACATGGGATCGGGGTTCCCTCACCTCCTACCTCAGCCTGGGGGCTGAGGAGAGGACAGGACTGCAGCAGGTGTCCATGACATGGGGCTCAGGCAGGGAAGGTGCAATGTGCAGGGTCTCACCGGGGCAAGCGGAGAGCAGGGTTTAAAGACACAGCCCAGGGTTGGGGTGAGAAAGAACAGAGACAGTTGGCCCTGGGGTGCCTGCTGGCCAGAGGCCAAGCCAGGGTGAGCAGCAGCCAGGACAGGAGATTAAGACATCCTCAAGCCCCAAAGACACTGATTCATGCACAGCCTGAAGCCACACAGTACAACCACAGGCGGGGATGGTCTGGGCCTGGAATTGGCCAAGGCTTGTGGCCTTGGCATTGAAGCAGGGAGACTGGACTTGGCTGTTGATAGATGGCAGGGCCTCAGCCCCTGCCTTGGGGAGCAAGGTTGAATGTAGGATGCAGAGACGAGGACACGCAGGGCACACATGTATGCAGCTGAGCCAGCACTGAGAAGGTTTGACTGATGTTCAGACTTCAAATCCAGTCTTGGCCATTGAAGGGACACCCAAGGCATCCTGGGGACTTCTGGAACCAGGGCATGCTGGCGATTCATAGCACACTCCTGGAGCAGAGGCCCTGACTCCTAGGTGGGTGTCTACTCTCTCCTCGGAGCCCCCACATGGCCAGCCAGTCTTCCATGCTAAGAGGATTCCTGAGAGGGTCCCTTTCCCACTCTTTAATCCCACAGCCGCCAGCATGAGCCTTCTTGGTGCCCCCACATGCAGACATATGGAAGTGTGCATGCACACACATGTCAGAAAAGACATGTGCTCAGGACTCCGAGATACATAAAGCCACACAGGTACACAAAACAAACACGCCTACACACACAGGAACAAAAGTGGCATCCAGGCTGCCTCCCAGGGGATCCGTCCAGGCTGCCTCCCAGGGGATCCGTCCAGCCCGCCTCTCACCTTCCAATCCCACTGCATACATCTCCTCCCCCTCCGATGCCCACTCGCTGGCCCCTCCTCTGCTTACCTTGGCTGGAGCATTTAGCAAAGCTGTTGTTGCAGTTCTTGCTGAAAATATTCCAGTCCTCTTTAAGGAGATTCTTTGTTTCGTTAAAGACATTCTTGATCTTCTCCAGCAACTGGAGTGGAGTCTCATAGAAAGTTCGGACACAGGTCTGGAAGCAGAGCAGGGGGCCGCTTGGTGAGCCATGACCATTGGCTCCATGTCTATCTCCTTTCTCAAATTCTCCTGACCTTTCTCACATCTGGCTTCTGCTTCCCTTCTGTGTCCTCTCTCCCCTCTCCTCTGGCTTGCAGCAGAACCGATTCTGAGATTGTGAGATATGTCATTTTCATGGATCCATTTAGTATATTTCTATATGCCAGGCTATGGTAAGTACCTGGGAATGGAGCAATGAAGGAGAGAGAGGCGGTTCCTGGTCTCTTTAGCCATTAAATCCAGCAGAGGGATTGGATTAAATACATTAATTACAATATAGTGAGTCAGTCCTATAAACGAGTGCTAAGTGATCTGATGCTGTGTAATAAAGGAACCAGCTGAGCTTTCCTGGAGAATTTCCCCAAGGAACCAACCAAAAGATGAGCAGGCATTCAGCAGGGAGGGGAGGGAGTTGGAGAGAACCACCCCGCGGTAAGAACACGTGATGCAGAGGTCCTAAGGCAGGGAAGAACAGGAAATGGCAAAGGGCAGAAAGCAGGCGGGAACGCCGCAGTTCTGCCATCTGGGGGAGAAGTGGCAGGAGAAGCAACTGGAGAGAGGTCTGCATGGATCCTGTTGGCCACAACAACTGCTACCCCATTGCAAGCATTGTTGGGGAGGTGGGCGGTGGGACCATAACATTGGAGGCTTAGAAAAATCGCCATGAGTGGCTGGAGACGGTGACAGGCAGGCCTCAGGGTGTGTGGTCCCCCCACTGGCACCAGGGTGGGCTGTACTGGGCCATGAAGGCCTTGAGGGAATCCGATGTCCCTCTGGCCTGTGTACTGGGGACCTTTATAAATGCGAATGAGAAGAGACCTGGGTTCAGCCCTGCACTCACAGCCAGGCCACAGTGGCCCACAGAGCTGTCCCCTTTAGGGTTCCTTTGCCACGGTGGGGTGAACACAACAGCTCCAGGAATCTCTCTCTTGGGGCTGGCATTGTGGTGCAGCAGGTAAAGCAGCCACCTGCGATGATGCTGGCATCCCATATGGGCGCCGGTTCGAGTCCCGGCTGCTCTACTTCCAATCCAGCTCCCTGCTAATGTCCTGGGAAAGCAGCAGAGGATGGCCTAAGTGCTTGGGCCCCTGAACTCATGTGGGAAACCCCGAAGAAGCTCCTGGTTCCTGGCTTCAGCCTGGCATAGCCTGGACCATTGTGGTCATCTGGGGAGTGAACCAGCGGATGCCAGATCTCTCTGTCTCTCCCTCTCTCTGTAACTCTGATGTTCAAATAGATAACAATGACAATAAAAGAAAGGCAGCTCTCGATTCTCTCCTCCTAAACCTCAGAGAGTGGGGGCTGCTTCTTAAAGTGCAGGTTGGTAGGCCCATCCTCAACCCAGCGAATCAGCCCCTTTAAAGGGGCGTATCTTGGGAATCTGCATTGTAAGCAAGCTCTTCAAGTGATTGTTACTGACCTTAATGGTTGCGAAACTTCAGGCTTAATACCTCCCTGATTAAACAATTTTTTCTTGACATAAAATGTCATAAAACTACAGACTTCACATCACTCATGTTAGTTTTCCCTGCATGCTCCCTGCAGCTACATCTCTCTCACACTGTCCCTTTTTGGAGCCAAGAACCTCCACTGGCTCTCCTGGCATTGACCTCACTCTGCTTCCGACAGTAGTCTTCGTGTCGCTGCTCTGACGGGGTCAGCCCTCCTCTAGCTGACTCCCCGACACTATTGGGAGAGAGCTGCCTGCAGCTGCCAGGCTGACAGCCCCCAGGCTGCTCCCTGACACTGGCAGGCCCCCTCCTCTTCTGAATCTAATTGCTGGGGTTTCTCATCTCTGTCCCTACAATGCCACAAGGGAAAATAGCTGGGTGAAAAATGGAATTAAAAGATAACTTTATTTTGGTGCAAAAAATATTTAAATGTATACATGGTATTTTTTCATGAGATCCACTTTCTGTTTTTATTCTTTCAAAGATTTATTTTATTTGAAAGGCAGCATGACAGAGAGAGAGGGAGGGAGGAATGGAGTGTCTTCCATTTCCTGGCCCACTCTCCAAATGATAGCAACAGTCAGGTCTGGACCAGGCTGAAGCCAGGAGCCAGGAACTCCATGGGTGGCAGGTGCTCATATACGTGGGCCATTTTCTGCTGCCTTCCCAAACACATTGTCAGGAAATTGGAGAAAAAGCAGAGTAGCCAGGATTTGAACCAACACTTTGATATGGGATGCTGGCATCCCTAGTAGCATCCTAGTTTAATCCACTGTGCCACAACGCCAGCCCCTCAGGGGCTGACATGCATTTTCTATGAGCTTTTTAATGAAAAACTATGCATGGGGTTTCAATTTTTTTGCACCCACATAAAATTATTTTTTTCTTAATTCATTTAATTTATTTGAAAGGCAGAGACAGAGCAACAGAGAGCTCTCTCCCATCTGCTGGTTCACTCCCTAAATACCAAGAACAGCCAAGGCTGGACCAGGCTTATGCTGAGAGCCCAGAACTCACTCTGGATCTTCATGTGGGTGGCAAAGATCCACCTGCTTGAGCTATCACAGCTGCCTCCCAGGATGTATATTACCAGGCAGCTGGAATTGGGACAGCAATAGGACTTGAGCCCAAGTACTCTGATACGGGATGTGAGCGTCTCACCAGCTGTGCCAGCCACTCACCCCAAATTTCTCTTTTAATTCCATTTCCACGAGCTTTCAAAGCACTCATGTGCAATCACACTTTGCACTCCACCCTGCAGCACAACTCTCCAGTCTGCTTCTCACCAGGCATACTCAGCCATCCTACAGCTGCCAGCCCAACCTGTGCACTCAGCTACTGCACAAGCATCTCTGTCCACTGTGCCCCAAACTGAACTCCCACTCCTCCGCCAGAACCTGCTTTGCCCACTGAGGGCCCCATTTTGGCCTCACTGAAATACCCAGGTGCTCAAGACAAGAACCATCCTTGCCTCTTCCCTTCCCTCAGCTTCTCATTTTTACTGCATGCACCAAGGCCTCTGAGCTCAGTTGCAGCTCCACCACAGCTAGTCCACCTGTCTCCGCCTTCCCACATCACCCTGGGCCAATCACAGGTATCTCCATTCCTGCTCCTTCCGCTCCAAGCTCCACACAGCAATCCCATCAGGCCCACCACGTATAGAAAGGGCCACTCACCTGCTCACAGCAGCTTCCCTGGACTTGAAGACCAAAGTCCCCCATCTTTGAGACCCTGAATGGTCTAGTTCCCTCCTCCTCTTCCTTCCCCATGCCTTGGCCAGGTTGACTCCCACTTTGGGTCCCTAAATGGGCACCTTCTTGTTTACCTCAGGGCTTTGTGCACTACCATCTCCTAATCTGGAATGTTCTGGAATGTTCTTCCATCCTTAATGCTTCCTAGCTGTTACTCATCTCAGGAGCTCAAATGAATATTTCCTATTCAGACGCCTGTGCCTTCTTTCCCTCCTGCACTTCTGTCAGCCCAGTGGTTCTCATTCACGGGTCACTCCCTGAGCTCCTGCAGCTCCTCCCTCCCTGGCTTCCTCTCTTAAGCACAGCAGTCTCTACTCACACACTCTGTGGGTCAACGCCCCGGCCATCACCCCCAGATGTGAGCTCCCTGGATGTGAGGACTTGTCTGCTTTCATCACAGCTGTTTCCCAGGGGCTAGAACCGTGCCTGGTACCCAGCAGGCACCCACCCGTGATCTGTCCAGTGAACGAATGAACAGACCTTGGGGATCGGAGTTCTATCAGGGGAGTCGTTTTGTTCCACAGCTGTCCACCTGCCTTGACTTGGAGCTCCACGTGGGCTCACAAGGACAGGGTCAAAGCCTAGCACAGCCTCCTGTAGAGAAAGCTCTGCCTGGAGGTGTGTGTGAGGGTGAGTGAGCCCCGTGCCCATGGGCAGGGCTGGGCCCTGCACGGCTGCCCCTGCCCTGCCCCCGGCACCCCTACCTTGTTGTCCTCTTCATGATCCTTGGTGAAGCAGCCCCTGAGCCTGAGCGAGAGTTCCTGGAGCTGCAGGATGGCCTTGGCGTTGGGCGTGCTGTGCTTGAAGCGCAGGGTGTCCTCCATGATGTCTTCCACCAGGAAGAAGGCCTTCTTCAAGTAGCACACGGGATCCTTCTGAAAGGGAGCCAGGAGCCTCCTCAGCAGGCCAGCCACGCCCCATCCCAAGTGGACTGAGGGCGACAGCCCGCCCTACCCCTGCCCCCGAGGGAGGGGACACACTGCTGCAGGGACAAGGAGGATGCTGCCCTCCCTTGTCTTTCGTTCTCGCTCTTGGGGATCTAGCACTGTGGGAGCAATGGAGACGTGGATTGTGGTTAGGGACATCTGTGGGGTTCTGGAATCCCAGGCTTTCATCAGGGTAGATGTGCAGAGCGGCTGTGGGCTCCAGAGAACCCCCCACCCCCACCTTCTTTGCGTGCCTTCACTCATGTCCTTTACTGCATGGCCTTGTCAAATCCTCCAGGACACGGGGTTTCCAAGGCTACCCCAGGGCTCAGAGAACAACCCCAGTGTGAGAGGAAGCAGATTCTAGGCGTAGTGGCACCTTTGTATGAGGTACAAGATGAACAGAACTAAGTGGTTCGGGGGTAGTTGGGAAGGCATGGCGGGCGTTGGGAAGAGCCTGTGCAAAGACGGGGAGGCAGGAAGGCACAGAGAACACGGTGGTGACACTGGGCTACAAAGCCCTTAGGGCCCTAACAGGTTTAAGGGAGGGAAGTGAAGGTAGCAGTTGGGGCTTGAGAGAGCTCCCCCTAGTGGAGAGACGATGGTGCACTGGAAGCAGGGAAATGGTTCAAACAAATGATTGGGGGGATGGAGGGTGGGGGGGGGGGGGTGGCACCCAGAGCTGCTGGGAGGCAGAACCGGCAGCACCTGGTGGCTGGCTGAGTGTGGGGCAGGAGGAAGGGCTAGACTGCTCTTCTGGCAGCTGATGTGTCTGCCGGATGGAGTCCATAAGAAAGGACTCAATCTGGAAGGTTGGCCTTGGACCCCAGAGCCCACCTGCGGGCGTTCCCATCAGGCCTCCGTCATTTACCAGCTGTGCTCCCCCAGTCTCCGGGTGCATCGCAAACAACACCAGTATTCATGGACCATTTAGCGGATTTGAAGATCTATGTCAGAAAAGTGCCTGGCACCTAGTGAGCACTTGCTGTGTGCCAGGCCAGGAGAAGGGAACAGCAGGGAGCTTGAGTCCTGGCTCCTCCCCTGCCCTGACCCCCTAGACTTGAGCACCCAGGGGCACCTCACACCCTCATCCTGTCCAGCTCTAGGACTTCTTTGTCGGCACGTTCCCATGTGCACTCCACCATACATGGTGCACGCATGCCTGTCACTCACCAACTGCTCCTGGTCCACAAACTCAAAGGCAATGTGGCATGAGGTCTCCATTTGACTGTCAATCTGTAAAGAGAATGGGCCAGTGGTTGCAGGGAGTCTGTAACTCAACTGACCTTGCCTCAGAACAGGCAGCTAGTTTCTGGGGGGATCAGGATGCGACTTTCATCCACCTGCCACAGGTGGTAAGACAGAGCCAAAGCTAGAGGGAGGTTTGTGCCTTAGGCGTGCCTAGGGGAGAGCTGTAAAAGAACAAAAAATAGCTCCTGCCTCTACCTCCCGGGCTGTGGGACCAGCCAGTCTGTCTCTGGGAAGTAGTGGGCACCCTATCATGGCAGAAACTCAAGCAGAGACTGGGCAAGCGCTGGGGATTCAGGATCTGTAGGGGCTGGGGCTAGACACCTTTGATCCCACGAGCAGTGGTTCTGTGTCTGGAGCCTCAGAGAACGAGACGGCTCTTGGCCTACCTTGGATTACTGCAGTGGCTCCATGCAAAAGGACCAGTACAGGGATGGGGGGAGGCCAGAGGCCCAGCCTACAGGGCCCTGGAGCCAGCTTTAGCCTGTACTGTCTCACCCTGCCTGGCTGGCCAGAGGAAGCATACATTTCCCCCTGAGCCGGACAGCAGCCATGACAACAACCTGCTTCTGCCTGGCTGGACCACGTCTGGGGCTGTTGACGACTCCGCCAGCGCGATCAGAATGAGACATGGGCATCCCGGTCCCAGCGGCGAGAGCCAGGGACGTGAGGGTGGAGGGCTGGCAGTTAGGCAGGAGCCTGCCCTCCACCTCTGGGTGGGGCTGCAGTGCCAGGCTGGCAGCATATCTGGGAGTCCAGGAGCTGGAGGCAACATCTGGGCCCAGCAGGCACACTGGGCTGGCTTCCCAGAGGAGGCTGCCCCTGAGGGAAAGCAGGCCTTGGAGCCTTTTCAGAGTCCACAGTGGACACTCCTGGGCAACCAGTAAGCCAGGGGAGTCGCAAAGGGCTGCAGAGTTGGGGACACTGAAGGGGATGGAGAGAAGGGGGACGGAGAGAAGACTCAGTGCAGCTGGCTGGGAGCCCTCTGTCCCGTGTCCCTCCCACTGCCCGTGCTCGCTGCCTCCTGCCTCAGGTTCCGCAGTGGGAGAAGGCAGGGTCAAGGCCCGGCTAGGCACTCACCAGCTGCTGTAGGGACTGCAGGTGCCCGTTCCCGATGATGTGGCTGCAGTGCTCAGACACCACCTCGGCGACACTCCTGCTCGCCAGGAGACAGGCCAGCAGCATCCAGGGGCCCAGCCATGTCTGAGACAGAGAGGGCGTCATTTCTCCTCGGCTTTCTCTCTCCCCAGTCACCCTCCTTCCCTGCTGAGGGCCGAGAAGCAAACACCTGAGACCTGCAATGCCTCAAGCTCTGGCCTACACCCCAGGATGTGGCATCCCCCAAATCCACTCTTCCCAGGGTTTCCTAACAGCCACAGCTCAAGCTCCCTCTCCAGCGGTAACAACGTAAATGTCACCTTCTCCAAGCAGCCGTCCCCAGTAAACCCAAGGCAGCCTGCAGCATCAGCACTGAGCCAGGCAGCTTCTGCGCTGCCCTCAAGTTCACGTTCATGCACCGGCTTCTGCACGCAAGCCAGACACAAGTACCCCCGGGGCCTAGCCCTTCCTCCCACCTGGCTCCACACAGATCTGGCTCTGCCACTAGACGAACCAGGGGACCAAACTCAGTTTCACTGGGAACTCATCCCATGCCAGAGACCTCTTGGAGCCCAGCTGATGAATCAGAGGCAGCAGCACTAGCTCTGAGCCATCCCTGCTGGGCGTCTTCCTGGGGGAGTCCCAGCAGCCTCTGCAGTCAGCCAGCTCCTAGAGTGGCAGAGAAGTTTGCTCCCACTCTGAGCACCCACCTGGCCCAGCAGGTGCTCCGTCCCAGAGTGACGGCACCGGCTCCTGATGCTTTGTCTTTTCCCTTCCTTCCTCCTCACCAGCGTCCCCTCATCCCTCTCCCTTGTGCTAGGTCTCCCCATCCTAGGCTGGCAGCAGCGAAGCCCTGCACTTGCTTTCTTCAGCTAGAGGTTGCCTCTTGGGCGCTCCTGGGCCTCTTGGCGGCTGATGCTTGTGGGTTGCGGGCTGGCACTTTCCTGGGCTCTGGGCTTGGCCTCAGAGATGCAGATGATGAGACAAACACTGCACCTAAGGAACACACTGGGAAAGCTATGCAAATCAACAACAGCATGCTGATTTACACCTAACCAAAGCCCGGATGCTTGCCAGCTCTCACCACAGAGGCGGGGCAGCTCTGCACGAATGGCGGGCAGAGGGTGGGAAGGAGGGGCCCCGCTGAGGCCCTAGAAGCTGGGGAGGCAGACATTGATGGCAGGGGACGAAGGGGGCACACCATGGCCCAGTGCCATTCAGCACGGGGACTGTGAGGGGTCTGGCCTGGCCTGGGGGACAGAGACTGTCAAAGAGCAGGAGGACAGTCACGGGGAAGCAGGGACCTCAGGCTCTGGGACAATCGGGGAGGTAGCCTTGGGTGGGAGCAGCTGCCCAGACCATCAGGAAACCCGGGGTGGGAACCTGTTGGAGGGAACTGGCCACACAGAAGGTGTCTGGGCCCCAGGCTGCCTGCTGGTGAGACTCCGAGCCCCTGGTGTGAACGTTACACAAGAGCCCGTCACAGAAGGGGATGAGAGAAGACAGCCTCCCCTCAAGCACGTGGTGCCCAGCCAGGTGAGGCAGCGCTTCCTTCGCCTGGGGTGGCCTGGCTGGGGCACTTTGCACAGCCACCACACAGGGGGCTGACTGACTTTGCCTCTAGACCTGGAACCCCAGTTCTGCCTCTAGGGAGGACCCAGCTGGGTGCCCAAGGGTTAATCCTCCAAGCCTGCATCTGGCTGGGCAGGCTCCTGTCCTGCTTCCTTCTTCCTCCCTCCCACCAGTCTGGGCCTCTGCCTGTGGGAGCAGCACTGGGCAAAAATCAGAGAGATGCTGAGACGCTGGCTCAGCCCAGCTGTCCATCATTCGCCACCAGCCTGCTCCATCTCCGCCTTCAACAAAGGCTCAGGGGGACCCTTGGGCTGCTCCCGTCTAACCCCAGCGCCCTTCTCTCTCCTGTATTTTCTTTCTCTTTCCTCGAACTCTCACTTCCAGCCCCTTATTTTCGCCTTGTTGCTAACAGCCCATCCCTGTCCCTGTGCCCTCAATCGGGTGCTTCCTCCCCTGGAGATCCACTCCTCTCCCCATCTCACCCACCTGCAACCCTCTGCCCTCTAGGTATTTGTCTGCTGTTTTTCCCAGGTCCCCACCACCACCACCACATCCGCAGGGCTCCTCAGAAGCCAGCCCATTAGGAGACCACTTATTGTTCTTGAGCAGGGGCCACACCGGCTTTCTAGGCGCTGCAGCAGCTGTTGCCATCGCAGGACAGGGGTCTCCTAAGCAGCCCTGGCTCGACAAAACCGAACTCCTTTCCACCTTCCTCTACCGACCTGAAGCTCAGCATCTCCCCAGCTGAGTTTGCAAGAAAGGGACTCAGGGCTAGCAGGAGACGCTGGTGCCTGCGCCCTAACTCCAGCAGCCCCCGCTTGGGGGCTGGAACAAGCAGCGGCTTGCCCATGCCCTTCCCTCCGCCAGCAGGTTGCCCAGCACAGGCCCTGACGCCCTGCAAGCTGGGTGACCCCAGAACTGTTCCATCCAGAAGTGCCCCTTCCCCAGCAGGACCTGGAAGCACACGCGTGGCCCCAAGAAGGTGCCCAGTGGGGAAGGCGCCAGGCTCGGCGCCCAGGCGCCCAGGCTGACAGGCGCCCCGGCTGACGCGGGGCCTCCGCCCCTGGCTGCAACCCCTCTCTCCCGCCTGTGGCTGGCTCAGCGTTCCCCTCCGCGCAATGGGGTGGGCAGCCTTCCCTGTGCCGGGAAAGCGCTGCAGCTTCGGCAGCAGCTGCAGGGCAGGCGGGGGCTCGCACGGTCCTTGCTCAAAGGGGGTCGGTCAGGAAATCCGAGCCCGCGCTCGCTGCCAGGGCGCCAGGACAGCTTTGAGCCCCGGGCTGGGGGCTCCGAGGGGCCCTCGCCCCTGGCCGGCCGGGCTCCGCGCCTCGGCCGCTGCTTACCGTGGGAGGGCAGCGCCCGGCGGCGCCCCGCGCGGTCATGCGGGCAGCTGGGTCCCGGCCGGGCGCGGCGGCCGCCCTCGCTCGCTCGCTCGCCGGCCGCTGCGGAGTGGGCTCCCTGGCCGAGGGCCGCGCAGCTGTCCGGGCTGTAGAGAGCGGCGGCGGCGCCGACAGGACCCAGGCGAACTTTCACTTTCCCCGGGCCGAACGTCGCTGGCCAGCCCCCGGCACAGCCTTTTAAGCGGCGGGCTCGTGGGGCATGTGGTTTATGGGAAATCAGCCTGGACAGGCGCCAGAGACACACACGCGCGCGCGCGCGCGCACACACACACACACACACGGACACAGACACACACTCCCAAGGCCCACTGAGCCGCCTCCCCTCCCCCAGCCCGCCGGCCGGTCGCCCCGCTCGCTCGCTCGCTCGTTTGCTTCCCGGTCGCCTTCTGTTTTCTGTGCTCCACTCTGCAGGCTCCGCCGCCCACCTCACCCCGCCCTTCCTCGCGCCCTCGGCGCACAGCCTCTCCTCCTGTGCTCTCCACACCGATTCGGTGCTGTTACTCTTTTTCCAGCGCTTGTCCCAAGGGACTTTCCCTCTAGGCCTGGAAAAACCCCCTAGTCGGAACAGGAAATTGGCCGAGAGCAGAGACAGGCACTTGGGAGGGAAGGACAAACCTGAAGACTGTCTCCCGCCTGGTGCTCGCGGCAGCCCCGCGTGGAGACAGCAGCTTTGCAGGCAGCCCCAGGCTTCCCATGCACCCCCAGCCTCTTGGCTTGGCTCCTTTTTTGGGGGCAGGAAGGCCAGTTACCTGTATCCTGTGACGGAGAGCTGCCAGCCTCTGCTTTAGATGCCAGGAGGCACTGCAGGCACTTGACCGCAGACGATGTGAATGTTGGCCAGTGCCCATGCTCCCTCCAAGCTCAGCTCGGATGGTAAAGGCCTGCACGGCCCGCACCCTTGGATTTTCCTGGATGCTTTTGGAAATGTACTCGCTGAGGTGGTTAGTCAATGAGGTCTGATTCCAGGAGCCTGTGAATTCTAACAACTTCAGGAGTCTTATCTTTCTTTAATTCATTACCATTCAATGCACTTCAATCCCTCTGTGAGGCCGCCCGCCCCTACGCCCTGGGAAATACAGGATGTATGACCCAGTTGCCAAGAGGTGTCTTGCTCTGACACAGCCCTTGCTAAAGCCCAAGCAATAGTTTGATCCCTGCAGGCCTTTGCTCCAATGGCCCTCTGCTTGGAAGGCTCCTTTCACCACTTGTGCTTAAGGCAAAATCCTCAGCCCTTAAGGCATCTTCTGCCTGTAGAGGCTTGGGTGATTCTCCCAGCCAATCAAAGACTTCTCTTCCCATGCGTTTCCACCGGCCTTGGCTCATTCCTCCACAGTGGCCCTGGGAACTTGGTGGTCGTCCATTCCTGCTCCATATTTGGAAAGCATCGAAGGTGGCACTGATAACTATACTCTGCCCCTACACTGGACTAAGACTTCCTCCAGATGGTTCCCACGTTCGCTTAGTGCTAGCACATAGTAGGTGTGCAGTTCATTGTGGTTGGACTGAATGAGGCTGTTGGAAAATAACACATTCATTTAGCAGAGGTGCACTAAGTGCCTGCTGGGGACCGGGCCCGTGCTGGACCCAGGGGCATATGACGCTGGGCAGCCGGCCACGCTTGCTGCTGAGGTGGGCTTGCGACAGTCAGGAGCTTCCGAAGCCTGTAGGACAGAGCCAGAAGCCAGCCCGAGGGAAAAGGTCAAGGGGTGACGTTCTTTCAAACGGTCTGGTACAATCATCACTTAAAACAACATGTTGACACACAGTTCTTGGGACTGATAAGAGGGTGGGAAGTAATTGAGAAAGATAAGCCTGTAGCCGTGGTGAGAAGAGAAGCAAGTTCACTGGCCTCCTCCTTTACCAACTCAGCTCCGCCGCAGGCTCTCTGAGGCTGGGCTTAGAAGCCAGCTCGGCTCCTGGAAGAGGCCAGGCATCCTCCCTGTGGTCCTCAGTCCCCCTCCACTGGATTCCTTTACGCCCAACCCACCACTCCCAAGCTACTTGGTCTTGACAGCTCTGCCTGGCCATTTGCTGCCTACTTGGGACAACGCACTCTCCGCCCCTGTTGTGCAGGAAGCAGGATGTGAGTTTCTCGTTCTCTTCAAGGTGTTCTAAGGAGGCTGTACCAGGGGAGTGGTCAGCCCAGAGTCTGAAGGAGTGAGTGCCGCTGTTATACGTTTACAGCGACCACACCACCGCGGTGCTGTGAACTTGGCTGACACCAGCTTTCAGACCCAGCTCAGCCCCTCGGTTGCTGAGGCACTTTAGACAAATCCCTTAGCCCTTCTGAGCCTCTCTTTTTCTGATTTGTGCAATGATAATGATAAAGCCTTCCCCAGGGAGTGGTTGTGAGGTCACGAGCTGACACGCGGGAGTCTCCAGGGCGAGGGACAGCGCAGACTGGGTGCTGAGGTGTAAGAGTTCCTTGGAAGCATAGGCTGTGGCCCTTGGCGACGTTCTGCCTGCACAGTAGTGGAGAGCTGAGCCAAGGCCATGATAACCACAGCTGCAGCGGGCCTTGCGGCTGGCTATCTCATCTGTTCCCTTCAAAGGAGAGATCGTGGATCTGCCTGACCCTTGACAAGCAGGAGCACCAGCCATGGGGAAGTCGAGGTTGGCAGTGCTGAAGGCAAGATGGAGTGGCTGCCTCTGCCTGGCTGATTGGCGATCTGGGACGGCAGGTCCTAGCTGGCTCCCCGTGCCAAGCCAGCAGGATAGTGTCCATCTGTGTGTGGGTGCTTAGCTCTTCATATCCATGCATGCAGGCTGGCAGGTGGGTGCCCAGCCCCCCATATTGCCTCACACAAGGGAATGAATGGACCCAGCCAAGCTTAGCCACCTCCCCCAGAGTCGCACGTGGATTGGCAGAGCCTGGAGTGGGGCTGTCAGGAGCCAGAGGATCTGGGCTCAGCGTGCTCCCCAGAGTCAGGTCAGCTGCCGTCTCCCCGCTGACTACTGCTGGAGTCATGTCTGGAGCCAGGTCCTGGGGGAGACATAGAGGGATTTGGAGCCAGTCAAGATTTGGGCTTTTGATGATTTCCTAATGTAGCCTCATTCATAAAGCAGTGTTCAGCTCACCCCAGAGAAGGGCAAAAGGGAGAGGGACCCTGCTTGCCAGGGAAGGAGGAGAGAGACCGAGAAAGAAGTGGAGATGGATGGCGGGAAGTGGGAGGAGAGCCTCATCTGCTGCTTGTCAAAGTGTCATTTCCTTGAAGTGATTTGACAGGCAACCCCCCCCACACACACACACACACACTCAGACTTCTAGGGAACTGACTTCTGTCACAGAGGGCTGACTGCCTCCTCTCCTCCCTTTCTCTCTCGAGCTCCTTGCTTTTCCCCTTGCTCTTTTCCTCTTTTCTTTCTTTCCTCCTTTCTTTCTTTCTTCTCACACAGTGACCCCATGGCTCTCTAAGCAGCACACCAGGGTGGGCAGCAGCCTCGGAGGCCTGGGAGGCTGATGTGTGCTGAGACCCCTGGCTAAGCAGACTGAGGCACAAGAGACAGACCCTGGGCAACTCAATGCCCATCCTGCCCCACCCAGGTCTTTTGCACCCCGGGCTATGCTTTCAGTCATGTCTTCTCTCCTTTTCTTAGAAGTGAGCTTAGCTCCCGGGGTGGTGAGGTGGCCATCAAGAAGGGATTGTGGAACTGAGTTTTTTTTTTTTTTCCATCCACTGGTTCACTCCTCAGATGGCTTCAATGGCCAGAGCTGCGCCAATCTGAAGCCAGGAGCTTCCTCTGGGTCTCCCACACAGGTGCAGGGGCCCAAGGACTTGGGCCATCTTCTATTGCTTTCCCAGGCCATAGCAGAGAGCTGGATCAGAAGAGGAGCAGCCGGGACGTGAACCAGCACCCATATGGGATGGCGGTACTGCAGACAGCAGCTTTACCCTCTATGCCACAGTGCCGGCCCCCTAAGTTTTTCCATCAGGTAAATGGGAACCTTAGCTCCCAGCCTGCTGGCCCTCAGGGCGACTGTGAGGAGGTTGTGCTTGGCCAGCTCCTTAAAGGGACCTTCCAAAAAGTTCATGGAAAATGTGTATGATGAAAAAAAAATTGTACGTGGATTTAAAATTTGCACCAAAATAAGCTTATCTTTCAAATCTGTGTTTCCACAAACTTTTTTAAAGATTTGATACTTTGGAAAACTACCATGTGTGTTGAGACTGCCCCTTGGCCTTGCCCCACTGCTGCAGCAACACCTGCTGGCCTCAGGGCTCCTGCGGTGCTGCCAGGAGGCCTGCCTGTGTCAGTGACACAGCTGTCTCCTGGGCTGAGCCTCCTGCCACTGCCAGGCTGGGCTCTGTCTCCTGCACCTGGGCAGGGCCAAGTCTCCTGCGTTACTCTCATACATCTAACCCAGAAAATAATAAATTTATCCACAGTGAAATTTGCCTTCTCAAGAGCCCTGTGTGCCCCTTAAAGCCACAACTCCTTGGGTGTGGATTCTGCTAGAATGCAAGTTCCTAACCTGCATGGGAAAGAGAATCAGACAGAACGATGTGTGTCTGCTGAGGGCTGGGGCCCAAGCCCTGCCCCAGGTCCCCTCCCCGGCCCTGGGCCTGCATCAGCAGGGAATGACCTGGAAGCAGGGAGAGAGCACATATGCCATCTGCAGCCACACAGTGAGCATTTCCAGTGCCTGCTGGGAGTCTGGCCTGTGCTGGTCCACAGTCTGGAGAATCTGCGGCCTCCCAGGCACTTACGTGTCAAGGGACAGTTTGCCGCGAGGGGTGAGTGCGGTGACAGAGAAGTGTCCCCCGGCCCTGAAGGTCCACAGTGGCTTGGTCTCTGAAGCCACTTGACAAAAGCCTGAAACCTGAAGCAGAGACGAGACTGAGCATGGGGAGGGTTCAGGCCCAGTTGCACGCAGCGAGAATTCCACCCCCACCCCCCGGGGCTGTCCCTTGCCTTGGCTGTCTGTGTTGGCTTGCTCAGCGCCACCGGGAGGCGTCCTTGTGTGGGCCTCAGGCTGGGTGGGGTGGGGAGAGGCGCGGAGCAGGAGTGTGTGTGTGTGGGAAGGGTTCGCCTCCCCAGGAGGGGACCCATGTGCGGCCTGGTGAGCCCCACTCCAGCCGGCAGATCATCTCCCTTCTGGGGGCTGGGGAGTGACGTCCCCCGGGGAGGAGGAGCGTGGCTGGGGAGCGACAACTCTGCCTCTCACACATTCTGGGACCCTGAGAAATGGATTTAACTTTTCTGTGCCTCGGGGTCCGCATCTTTCACACAGAGATAATGACAGCAGCCCCCTTGCAGGGAGCAGGTGAGTCACAACGGGGAAGATGCCTAGGATTGCCTGGAACGGGCAGAGGCACCATCACCAAGGGGCCAGTGAGGCCAAGAGGGCGCTGCATCTGCTGTCCCCTGGCTCTGTGAAAGGAAGGCTCCAGGTTAAGCTGCTGCTTGCAACACCAGCATCCTTTATGAGCTTAGGTTCGACTCCCAGCTGCTCCACTTCTGATCCAG